TACTGTATATTGATGCATATTACTTAAAATTCAAGATTACAAGTAATTATGCATAAGTACAACTTATTAAAGCTCGATGTTTGAATTCGTATAAATAATTGCGGATAAACATAATCAAATAGAGGATGAACATCTCATTTTAAAATATAAAAAATCTAAAATATAATTATGATAATTATCGAGTTCCAATAAAATAAATAATTATTATCTTTTTAAAAAAATTATATTATTAAACCAAATATAAATTACTTCGTTATTGTACATAAATTTAATTATAAAAAATTGAATTAAAAAATTACACAAAAAAATAAGAAATTTCAAATAGTTAATTGGATACTAATATCGATATATTTTTGTCAAATTTTTATGATATCTTCAAACATATATTTAAAAAATAAAAACATCATTGCTTTCTCAAAATTATATAAAGTCATATTATAACATCGACTGAGATAAAGAATAAAATGAAATATTAAAATTACGATGTATCTTGTTGCATTGCACGAGTACGTTTCTAATATATAAATTAGGTATGGTTCCACAAATTATAGGTCCTCAATTTTGGATATGTTTGTCAAATAAATTAAATATATTTAATTACTACCATTATTGAAAAAGAATGTGCAAACGACTGCACCTCTAGCCTCTACGAATTTTATGGTGTGGCCTAAATTTGTAGCTATTAAATAAGAAAAAGGTATTAAATGAATTATTTAATAATTGATGTTATCTACGTTTTTTTATATTAAAAAGTATAAAAATTAATATATATATATAGGGTTGAGTTTACGTGAGACCAAGAGTTTTTTGTGAGATCCGTAACACTAATTTATGTTTATTGATCAACTTTATAAGCTAACGATCTAATGGTCTAAAATTACACGATGATAATTTTATAATTATTAAGAAGTCTCGTGACAATTTTGTGATTATTAATGTTCATATCGTAGATCTAATTCAATGATTAAGAATTGGTCTTACGGTTTTTACGAAAAACTATTGGTCTCACGTGATCCCAAGTCTATATATATGGTTGGGTTCACGTGAGACCAAAGGTTTTTCATGAGATCCGTAAGACCAATATATATATATATATATATATATATAATATGTGTGTGTGAAGCTATTTAATAATCTATACCATATTATAAAGAATTTGACAAAAAACTTTTAAAAATCGTTTTTATGCATGAAATACTGTGTATTAATGTATATTACTTAAAATTTAAAACTACAAGTAGATTGTACGTAAGTACAACTTATTAAAACTTCATTTTTGAATTCGTATAACTAATAACATAATCAAATATATAATAAACATCTCATTTTAAATATAAAAAATCTAAAATATAATTAAAATAATAATTGAGTTCTAACAGAATCATTATATTTATAAAAATTATATTGTTAAG